TGTATGCATGAATGTATTTCTGAGGTTTCATTGCATTTCTAGAATGGCTATTATGGAGCACAGCTACTTGTTGACCATTGGTCAAGGTGAGAGATTTATTCTTTGAAAGCTGGACGCATCCAAAGGCTGTATGTATCAAGAGAAAACCTATTCCTTTGTGGGCAGCGATAGATGAAGCAGTACTGGAAAATGAAGCACTAGATCAATGCATTCTGTATTCAGTGTTAGACAGGTTCAATCTTTGTCCATTTCGATGGCATTGTGAACCTTTTGCTCAATTTAGGTGGTTATATAGACTCTATGAAATGAAATATGTGCTATATTTACCTCTCAGCCACCATATAAAGGTTTCATGGATTTTTCATCTTCATGAAATTATTTTCTCCCGTCTTTGGAACTGACAGATTTTGTAATGTCAAATGAAAACAACACTGAGTTTGTGAGATATCTGGTCATCTGATGCAATATACGTGCAGTTGGAACACAAGGATTTTCTATTATGTCCATTCATCATTTTCTCACAGCACTGCATGCAAATATGACAGATTTCATACAAGGGGACCTCTGTATTGCGTAAGAACTTTAGAGATATACATGTAGTGTCAAGCAGAAATAGATCAAGCACACACTCTTTGCACACTGACAATCTGGGGATCAGTCCCCCTAATGTGTGTAGTTTGTGAAGCCTACTTTTGCTTCATACAGGGGTACTGTTAAAAAGTGTTGTTGAGAACTGCTCATCCACTAACTCACTTACACTCTGTTATGTGATGACACTCACTCACTCACTCACTCACTCACTCACTCACTCACTCACTCACTCACTCACTCACTCACTCACTGACTCACTCACTCACTCACTCACCTACCCACCCACTCACTCACTCACTCACCCACCCACCCACCTGCCCACACTCACCAAACTTCAAGCCCAGAACTCCCCTCTACCATTTGCAGTCCTGTCTTCCAGTGTGAACTGCACACTAGTATTGTTCATATATTGATGTCAGCCATGTACCAATTTGACCTGTATGGTTTTATTGTCTTTGTCAGTCACTACAAGCAAGAACCGCTATTGCCAAAGACTGTTCCACAACGTTCTATCAATACCTCTTGTATAGAAATGAACAGATATATTCATTGACTTTTTGTAAGAACAATACTGAATTTGGTCAATGCCAGGTAAATATAGGCATTATTGTCCTTGCAGACATCACCAAGTAGATGATGGTTCCATGTTTACCAAGAATGGTTTTCAACATGGCATAAACAGCTTGGTGCAAACAGGACCGCATCAAGAAAAATGTTATCTGGTTTTGATTTGCCTTGGAGAATTGTTCATGACTGCATTAAAAGCTAGTCTGTAGAATTGTGACAACATTGAGATAATACTGCATTTCTGTAATAAAAGCTAATATAGAAGAAGAAGAATATTTATTGTACATAAACACCCACAGGGGGAAGGGTACAAAACATGAACATGACTAATTAAACATTGACATACACAATAGAATACAAATATTGATATGATTATATTGTTAGGGAGGAGATGCAGATTTTCTTTGCCTGAACATTTTGTGAATGAAATTAGAGATCATTTTTGCAAAGGGCTCTGGTGGATTTAATAGTATTTTTAGCAATACTGGGTGCATAGCAAAGCCGCGTGATGAATTTAGTTCCCCTCTCAGATCTTTGTAGAGAGGGCATCGCAACAGGAAGTGTTCCTCATCTTCTGTTTCATCAATATCACAGAAGGTACATAATCTTTCTTCTGTTGTAGTGTTGAAGTATCTTCTTCTCTCAATTCGAAGGTCGTGAGCACTGAGTCTTAGCCTTGTAATTGCTTAATATGTGCATGAATAACTAAATTCTACATTATGAAATAAATAAGGATAAATGTCTGTCAGGATTTAACTTGTGTTCATTTACCTGTTGAGAGATGGAAAAGTCAAACTGTCTTTGTTTTATACATCTATAGTCATGTCTGTTTAATCCTATTTACCACAAAACATATAAAAGTTTTAAAAAGCAGTATAATCCTGTTTATTTTATTCATAAACATATAAAAGTTTTAAAAAACAGTATAATCCTGTCTATGACATTTGAAGAGAATTATATAAACAAGTTAAGCTACCTCTCGAAGGACATGGCCTACAGGATACACTCTTTCAGTTGAACTGTGATCATTGTGTTGGCATGTTCTCCCATGGGTTGTCTCTGCTGGTATTTCCACTGATTAGTGCATATTTTGAAGCAGTTAAGGTTAATTGTCTACGTTTAGGAATGTCTGTGATGGTAAATCTGGTTATAAGAAAATGCTTCAGTGGAGAATAATATAAATGACATTTATTCATCATTTGTCTGAGTTCTTTTGTCTAAGACATCAGCAAATCAAGGTGAAATGTACGCTGATATATGTTTCAAAAGTCAATTTCTGTCTTTGTGATAGCCATTTCAGAAGATACCGCACCTCTAATGCCTAGATCTTTGTTGAATAATACTCATGATATTGGCACAAAACGACTGTTTAAAGGACAAACACAGGGATAAACATATGATATATACAATAGCACATAGGGTATGTCATTACAAAAGTGCAGTAGAACTTAGGATGAGTTTATTTCAACATTAAGTTGACAGTTCTTGTTAATTATCTTGGCAATATGTCAAGATACAGTGTGTGTGTGGTGGGGGGAGGATCATAGAAATTAAAGGGACTGGAAGGCTAACTCACAAATGTTCATATCATAATTTGTTTTCATCATTATTGGTAAAACTTTTAATTTTCAGATTATTTTTGTTTTCCTATGATTCAAAAGTGAAGTCCAAAAAAATAACATTATGTAGAATGACGAATGCATATTTCAACGAAAAATATCTTTTCTTAATTTTGTAAAATTTAAGATGGCGTAACCTCAAGACCATGAGAATATAACTTTTCAACACAACTGTATGATATATTTTCTGTTATTAAAATAACAGTGTTTACCTTTAATACAGGCTTGTGATACCAGCATCCAACACACCTAAATTTAAGCTTTACAGTGCTTATCCTGTTGACAGAGACAACCTGATATAAGGATCGATATCTTTCTGCGTCAAGTCACTGATAAGATATCCTGTTTATGTAACTTTTGACATAAACCTGATGGAATACAATTCCAATGAATACCTTTATTTGTTTGTCCTCCGTAAGTGCTGATATTTCTGATCCAGCCGCTTCATATTCAATACATAATGGCTTCCACTCTCCACAAGACTGCATGACACAGTCAACTTTCCCTTCATGTCAAGCAATATTCCAGCAGCTCCAGCCTTTGGTGTTTACATTTGGCAACTTTTAAGATACAATCAAGCATGCTCTTTCTACCAAGATTTCAAAGAGGGTCATATGACTGTTGCTCAGAAGTTGTTTGATCAAGGTTACAACATTCAAGGCCTCAGTAAAGCTGTCAAAAAGTTTTATGGTAGACATATGGAGGACATTTCCAAATTTGACGCATCAGTTACAAAAATGTTGCCTGATGCAATTCCTTATTTTGACATGTACCATGTTCCCATGTTTTTTCAGGTTAACAATTGACTTGCCTTTGCATGTGTTTGTGATGGGTGTCACCGTTGGGTCAGGATACGCTCACCTTTTTGTAAACACCTTGTATCATTACTACTTGATATTGATTCATAAACACATGCTCAGGATATAGTCAGAATTGTACAACCGACTCTGCTTTATTCAGAGATTTCTATTGGATATGGAAAGGGTTTTGTCGCTTTATGTCCTTAACTTCTTGGTAGACACAGTCAGTTGGCTCGTGATATTAGTGATGTGTTCATTACAGTGCCATATCAAGTAAGAAAGTTGTCATGAGGCATCTATTTAGAACTGAATTTCAGCAGAATACGTTCACCTTTTCGTGAACACCTGGTATTATCACTATTTGATTGTGACTCATTAACACATGCTCATGATAAAGTGAGATTCATTCAATGGAGATTCCTAAACCAAAATGTGCAAATGTGTAATCAAATATAAATTTAACATTCATTTTTTCAGTTATCACCAATTTCAGAAATAGAATAAATATAAACAGATCAATATGGGAGTTAATTATGAGAATTACTGTTTCCCTGATCAATCAAATGAACACCAGGGCCCACTTGCACAAAGCAATCTTAGCGCTAAGATGATCGTAACTCCCATACTTTAGCATATATGCTTACAATAGTCTTAGCGCTAAGATCGCTTTGTGCAAATGGACCCTGGTGTCATCACTGATTTTGAGTGATGCTTCCATATAGTTTTCAATGCTATTTTCTCTTTTTGTCCAATGGAATCAGGCAGATAAGTGAGACTGGTTATTCTCTGGCATTGACGTTTTATATTGTCTTCTCTTTCCATTTCATATATATCATCCTGACTAAAGTTTAAGAGATAACAAAAATAATGTTTTTCAATTTTATTAGTATTTGTTTTACTTACAACCCTGGCTTAAAAAAATCAGTTTCAATCTGTAAATCAAGTTGTGAAAGGTGTTGTGACTCTCTCAAGTTTTATGCCTCTAACTATATTGACACATGAAGTCTCCAGTATCCCATGTCGTCATCTGGTGTCATTGACTGTGTGTAAAAATAGGAATTTATCATTATTGTCATAGACAATCAGATTCCATGTTGAGGTCAGTTGCCAACGTTGGCACAGTGAAACCCATTCATAGAGGACCATCTTCTTTCAGTATCATGAGAGGCGGTCAGGTAGCCTAGTGGTTAAAGCATTCGCTCATCACACCGAAGACCCAGGTTCCATTCAACACATGGGTACAATGTGTGAAGCCCATTTCTGGTGTCCCCCGCCCTGATATTGCTGAAATATTGCTAAAAGCAGCGTAAAACCACTCACTCACTCACTCACTCACTCACTCACTCACTCACTCACTGTTGTTGATGTAGAATGAGGTGGCATTGAACAATTTGAATAATACTCATGTACTTCTATGTTTCAGGATGTGCAAAGTTCTCCCATTGGATACTGTACTAGTTGGTAGATTAATCTGCTGGTAAGAATCACAACTAGTGGATGTGACATCAAGTTTAGGTAAGTCAATCTCATGTTTCTAACATTTAATGATCCTTCTTTGACAATGCTTTTCTTTCATATTTGGAATGATGTGTAAATTTGACAAATGCCTAAAAAACTGAATATTAATTGTAAACCTACTGCTTCCAAATAAAGGGCTTCTAGAACCAAGCTGCAAAGGTATGGCTGTGCAGAGTTCTGTCCCTTGTTATAACAGGATTTGCTGGAAGTGAGTTTGAATCTCAGACACTTCCTGATTAATATCTTTGGTCTGGCAGCACCAAACCCATGCTTTTGGGTTTTAAGGATACAGATTACCTAATGTTGATTTTCCCAGAATTGATTATCACCCCTTAGCTCCCAGGATCCGTTGGTTCTTTGTTTGAATTCAAAATCTGATCTGATTATGATCCTTGGTCAGCCATATGCCTACCCACACACCTTGGTTTCCCCAGGATGGTGAACCTCAACGACCTGTATCTTTTCAACATTCTTCACACATTAAAGCTGACTTGCTATGAAGAACTGTTTGTTTGTTTGTTTGTTTGTTTGTTTGTTTGTTTAAACAGCACTCAGCAATATTCCAGCTATATGATGGCGGTCTGAAAATTAATCGAGTCTGGACCAGACAATCCAATAATTGACATCATGAGTATCAATCTGTGCAATTAAGAGTCAGAGAGTCTGACCACCTTATCCCGTTAGTCACCTCTTACAACAAGCATAGCCACATTTTACGGCAAGCATAGTCTATGAAGAACTGAAATATTGTTCAAAGCAGAGTAAAACTCAACTGTCATACTAAGTTCTTCTTAGCCTATAAATGTATACATCTTGGACATCAATAGTACCATTTAGTACAGGTTTAAAAACAGCCTCTCTTGGCCAACACATATCCAGAAATAACTATTGTAATTAATCAAAACAATATCCTCCTGAACGTATTTATGCCATTGTCAAATTCAATCATCATTGTCGTGTCTGTAGCATTTACATTATGGTTCTAATCTATCATCTCCACGAACTAGACCCAACGTCCAGAAAAACCCTGACCATGATTGCCAAACTGGCATCTTCCCTAGCCTCAGGGCCAGTAAATCATTGGTTGACTCTGATTAGATTCATTAATGGAATAAGTTGTGTATCAAATGATTAGTGGCAATACGCGATCACCACTGTCCGGCAAACAGCGCTGTACGATCACCATTATCACGTCATTGTGGATGGTCGACCAAGTATTGAATTCTGACATCGCCTTCTTTTCAGGAACTTTAGTATTAGTGGTCTGTATCACATCAAACTCGACCTCGAATGACCTTGAAATCCAGCGAGAATCTCTGATGAGATTTGGGTTAGCAACTTCATTACCACAAGGGAAATAATAATATTGGTGCAAGCTCAGCTCGAAAGTTGTGCTTGTTTTTGTTATCTGTTTCATACAACACGCCAGGTATGTTTTCTGCGTGTTCTCCTTTCATGAAAGATAAATTTTGCACTAAAACATTTTTTGTTTCAAATTTGAAATGAAATTGAGTTCAAATATATTTTGATGTTAATTTTCTTCGCAAATATGAAATGAAACGACTCTTGAAATTATCAGAAAATGTTTGATAGGACAGCAAGTAGGTGATTGACATTTCTGATTTCATTGATGTTATTAAGAAATATTGTGTTATAGTGTCAGTGGGATATAAGGAGGTATGTTTTAGCAAGCTAAGAACAGTAGAAAAGGAAATTCGATTCCCCAGGCAGCTGTGACAAATGTTATGGTTCATAGGAATAAACAGTTCCACAATCATGATAAATGACTAAGTAAATATGACTGTTCGATTCCTAGTGACAGTACTTGTTTGATTATCATGATTAATTTGTGCGGGAACAATTATTAGCCGGAGGACCTATTTTTGGTTTTCTCTTGTTAGTCCAGATTAATTTGGCCTGAAACAATGTCCTGTTGGCTTGGTAGTAGTGAGGCATAGGAGCTTAATTGAAAAATATTTTTTAAGTGCCTTTTCAAGGTGTAATTTCTAGTCAATGTTAATTCTCAGTCATTATCAGGGAGGGGATTCATGGCTAGAGATTATATAGATCTTTTCCTTGTGTGTTATTTGAGTAATAGCAGTGTGTCAGTGGGTTTGGTTTAATGCTGTTTTGAAAAGTATATCGTTTGTTTCTTTGTTTGTTGTTTAACGCCGCACTCAGCAATATTCCAGCTATATGATGGCGGTGTGTAAATGATAGAGTCTGAACCAGACAATGCAGTGATTGGCATCATGAGCATCGGTCCACGCAATTTAAATACAATGACATGCATCAACCAAGTCAGCGAGCCTGACTGCCTTATCCCATTAGTCGACTCTTACGACAACCATGGTCGCCTTTATCGGCAAGAATGGGTTGCTGAAGACCTATTCTACCCCGGATCTTCACGGGTCATCAGTGTGATCATGGCATGTCAGGAGGAAAGCCTGAAATCATGCAGGTCCTAGACATTTACAACTTGGGTGAAAACCACGAGCCTGATGCTGACAAACCAAGAAACACAATGAAGATAAATCTGGGCTTCGAACCCATGATTCTGGCATGTCTAATGGATGCAACTCTGCACAGTAAAACACAGTGGAAGATTAGAACAGTATTAATTAATCATTGGATGTGTGTGGTTCAGAATCTATGGACATAGTAATAACAATAAGTTGCGTGACAAATTATGTTTATTAATATGTATTATCTGCAGGGGGCATGGGTGGCCTAGTCGTCTAAGGTGCCGCGATTCGCTGTGCAGAGTTGCGTCCCTTGGGCACGCCATAAACCTATGATTGTGGGTTCAAATCCCGGTGGCCCCAATTATGTTTCTAGGTTTGTCAGCACCTTACCCATGCTCGTGGGTTTCACCGAAGTGGTAAATGTCTGAGACCTGCATCACTTCGGGCTTTCCTCCGATATTAAGCTGACACGCCATGATGTAACTGGAATAATGTTAAAAGCGGCGTTAAACCCAACTCACTCACTCACTATTATCTGCAGCTGCAAAACTGGATATTGATTAATTTTGGTCAAAATGTCATGAGAATTGAGACTTGATAGGACCTGTCTAATAATTGAACCATACAATATGCATGTTTTATGTCTTAGGTCTCGTAAAACAATACACGGAAAATCACTGGCGTGTCAAACACTGCATCATTGTTTCAATTATTTTTTTATCAATTCTGTTTTATTGTGAATCAATGCACAGTCTCATCAGCTGCCCTTTGATCTGTTTTAAATTTTATATATACTGTTATTCATAGTCCACTGAACAGGTTAATTTCATTATAAATTGAAGTATAGTTAAATTGATTCAAACTAGGGGGAGTCTGATGTAAATAGAGTTATAATGTTCAAATTTTCATCATCACAAATGCATCTCCTCTAAGTACCTTCAGATGTCATTAATGAATATTCATAAAAAAATCTATACACAATTCACACATGAAAGGCTTAATACACCCCATACAAAGTGATTACCAAGCTGAAACTGTGTCAGTCAATGAATAGGCTGAGAAGTATGAAAAGAAAAATGTCATTTTGAGGGTGATTATTTAGCATGTAATCTGGATGTAATGAAATAAATCTTTCAATTTCATGGTGAGAGAAATTCTGTTAATTGCTTGCCAGGAATTTTCCTTAGAACTTGCCAAAAACAACGGTAATTTCCTCTTAAGTCATTTTGGTGTATAAGAGAAGATTGTAAAACTCGGAATGTTTCTTGTTCTGAAATGTGCTGGAAATATCGGTTATTGCATTTTTGTCCGAGTGAGAGTGTTATAGTTGTGTTATTACATAGCACAGGTGGTTTGGCAATGGGGCATGATGATTGCTGCTTGATCAGTAATGCTCAGAGATTCCTAAGCTGGAAATGAGTTTGGTAAATAATGGGGGGGAACTAAATGGGTGGCAATGCTACAAGCCTAGAAGATCTAAACAGAAATATGGACTTTGAGATGAGTCCAGGGTGCCATTGTACAAAATAACCTTAGCGCTACGACTGCCGTAAGTCTATGTTAAGGTATGAGGGTTACGATCACCTTAGCACTAAGATCGCTTTGTACAATGGCGCCCAGGTATTTGGAATTGGTACTCATGTGTTCTGGTAAAATGCAGTGTGGTTAGTAAACATTGGGTTCAGTGTGTAAGAATTGTAACTTAATGATTAGTATAGTAACAGTTATTATAGTAACAAGTGTAAGGTCTAATTGTACAGCATGTCTGTACCATCGCAGCTAGGGTGTAAAAGTTATAATAGTACATAAAACATAATAGGAGCAGTGGGGTAGCCCAGTGGTTAAAGTGTTAGCTCATTAATGCCTAAGATCTTTGTTCAATTCCCTATATGTGTGAAGCCATTTTGAAAATTTCTGCATTATTGTTGATCGTGTATATAATTACGGCTTGTGGCATGTGTTTTTTCCACAACATACCGGAAACATACCTAAGTATGATGGCTTGAATCTGAGTATAATGTCCATTGTCTTCATTGTTTGGTTTTTCATTATTATCATCATCATTACCATTCTGGCTATTTCTATTGTGCTAAACACCTAAAGATCAGTCGTCACCATAATATCATCAGTTTTCTTTATTGCCCAAAAGCTGATTCAGTATGTCAATACTTAAAAAGTAATCATGTACATTTGAATCCTATTAAAGCTTTCACACATATCAAACTCCAATTGTTAAAAGACAATCAAGGCATTTATGTGTTAACCTGGGTCTTACTTGGTTGAAGAAACGCTTAGCACAAAAATACTTTCACCGCCTTGACTTGAAAAAATGTTATTTTAAAACCTAATTTCTGAACCAAGGGTCAGATTCCTGATATATCTGTCCTCACAAGAGCCTGAATTGATAACGTGAGACTCACTTTTTATCCTTTTAGCAGTCTGGAAGCAGCCAATTCGAATTAGATTTCAAGAGATTGAACTTGGAGCCAAACATAGGCTATTTGGAAAAAGTATGTTACAACAAACACACCA